GCAAAACAAAAGCACTTTGACAAGGGAGACTAAGTTAGCCTCAGTTTGGAACACTATACATTCTGTTTCCTGCATGTTTCCTCAGAAGTTTGAAACTCTAGGATCAACTTCTCCCAAGTTCCCAGGAAAGGATGCTCCACTAGTTTACCCAGGTATCAAGAGATTGCTTTAATAGCTTGAATAAAGAGAGAAGCTGACATATTCTCTTTTTTGGTAATTTTGTTTGTTTGAGTATCTAAACAAAGAAATGCTTTACTGCTATGAATGCAGAGTGCTGAGGAGCAACCATGCAATTCTCTGGTGTGTTCAGTTGTTTTGCTCAGTAAACGTGTGAATCGTGCTTGTAGGCACAGCTATCTCCTTAGACTGCATAAGGAAATATCCAACTGCGTAATGTAATGCAGCAGGGTGTACAGCAGCAGGAGCAAGCACCACTTCCTGCATAGCTAAGACCCAACGAGGCCTCTGCCCTAAATCACTGCCTGGTGAGGTGCCCACCTTTGGCCATTGATTACACGGGGAGTTCAGGGTTTGCATTACTTTACAAATATAACAGGCAATGAACTGATTATTGAACTTTCAGCAAAGTGAATAGCTTGTTTCTCTCTCTTTAAGCCCATGTCTACTTGTGGATGTAACTCTTTGATTTACTCAATTATTTTTTTTTTTTTCAAATGAAGGCCGGAAGTTTGATACAGTACTTGCAAGAAATACTTACCAATTTTCGTATTTAAAAATCAATCCACACATAATTTTCTATTTTTGAAAAAAGGCAAAATTACTCTGCTGAAAACTAGCATATAAAACTAGTCAATGCTTTCAAAGATTATTAATATTTGATCATCTGTAGGGAAATCAAGAAGTGATGTGGAGATAAGATATTTTTGCCAAGTGACTTCCTTACAGTCACTCATTTACAGATGACTCTGTTAAATATTAGTCAAGGAAGTCCTTGCACTGTTGTGAACAATATTTTTGTGAACAAATCTACGTATGATTTGCATTCTCTGTCTATCTCATGTTCTGTTTTGGCCACTTAAATTACAATATGTTAAATGTATAAATTAGAAAATGACTTTCTTATGTAGCATATGCATTGGAATTTTAAGAATACATTTCTGTGTGTCCATTTTTCAGCTAGAATAAACTGGAATGTTTCTACAAAGACTCAGCTGTCCCTCTTACTTGTAATCCATTAAACAAAAACATTCTCAGCCCACAGTCCTTGTTTAGGGAGAACAGTACACAAGCTCTAGCATTTTCCTGTGACTGCAGATAAATAATATGTAACAGCATAAATGTAGGAAATTCCCAGACTGAAACAGTCATTGACAGCTTAATAATCTTATTTTTATATTTTAATACAATTTTGAAAGCTCCTCCTAGTATATATCTTAAGTTTACTATACATGGAGCTGTTAAAAGTTACTGTAATATGTTTTCTCTAATGGAGGTACAAAATCCTATCTTACAAAAGGACCTCACCAGTCAAGACATTATTTATTTTTAGGTAACTACCAAAAATCAAATTAACCATGTCTCCATATCAAAACTGCATGACCTTCAGAATACCCTGGCAGACCAGGAAACCATAGCACTCCCTGCACAACACACCAATTCAGATTAATTGTATTAACAAACTTAATTTAGAAGGATTTGGGAATGTTTTTACAGGGTTTAGGAAGGATTTCACTAGGATTACATGATGAGTAACTTTAAACGTGTTTAACCGTTCACAATAACTCTCTAGGCATGAAACAGGTAAACTATCCACTATTCATTGCTTACTAGTTCTCATACCAAATTTTGCTATCATAAATGGAATGTCTTTGCAGTTCACTGTACAATTTAACTAGCCAGGAAAGAAACAAAAACAAACAAACAAACAAAAAAACCTTGTCCTTCTGCTTAGAGAAGAGACTGTTTCTCTTCTGCATATTTCTGTTCTCTTGTGTTTCATTCAGAGAAACTGAATTTTAGTATGGCTTAAAATTACATTCCATTTGAATTAAATTATTTTGCCATACAATAATATTCCTTGCCACCATCTTTTTTTTTTTTTTTTTTTTCCCCCCACCCCATATGTATTTAAACCGTGTACCAGTGCTCTAGAGAGAATACCTTAGTCCTAGGGAGTAAATGCACATAAAACACAAAGTTGGAGCATTTGGATGCTTGGAGCTCTACTCTTGCAAACTCATCACATCAATTTTATATCAAATGTCCTGCAACACAAATTAGTACAGCAAGGCAGTGAATCAGCACTTGCATGCAAGTTCTGGAAAATGGAAACAAACAAATGAAAGGATATATGCTCTTTTCATAATTCTAGGAAATCTGAAATTTTTAAAACAAATGTACCTTTTTATTTTCTAATGGGATCATAACAGCAATAATGTCTCAACTATGGAAGTAACAATAAGAGCGTCCAGTTCTGAGCACATTGTTCTACAGTATGCTAATGTATGAATGTAAATACTGCAAACACATAAATAAATCAAGAAATGGTGCCTGAGAATGCCATTGGGAAATGCAACATGGGCAGCTGTGCAAACAACTATAATATTGGGACAAATTTATGAGCATATGTAGATACACTCATTTTCTGCTTCAAAAGAAAGTTTTACCTTTCACTGCAGGTGATTTGACATTATTTGCCATATCCATCATCACAGTACAGTAGAATGATGGGATTTCATTGTTGGAACAGAAGACGGGAAGTAAAAAATAGCCAAATATTAAACTTATACTCTAGTGGAATTTATTTGCTAGTTTGTTCTTGAAATCTGCACATTTAATTACCTGTGGGAGAGATTATTTCTTGTGGCCATTGGATTTTTCAAAGTCAAAATAACGTGTAAACAACTGCTGATGAAATTACCTGCCACAAAATGTTATATTCTAGCAAAGAACTCTGACATAAATTAAACAAAAAACTTTTATATTGTATACAGTCCTTCAGCCACCTTTTAAAACTTGCCTCTTAGAAAACACCTTCCCCTTGGTCTAAGTAACTTGTAACTAAAGTATCGAAACTGAATGGCAGCAATTGATACTTCCTGACTTGAGAAACTACTGCTGCAATGCAGCTAAAATTACTGTAGTTAGAACTCTGTAAAACATAAGTTGTTATGTATTTCTATCTTGACTGTACTACTACTTTATTTAAAATCTTTATTAGCAGTAATTTTGCTCAAATACTGTTGCTCATTCAGCTGCTATTCTGGAGGTCCTTCACACTGGGACAAAAGCACTGATTGTTGCTCATTGTTGATTGTTTGAAACCATTAAACAGTCAGACTGGTATTTGTTACTGTGCTGCCTCCTTCTGTTTCAAATGCATTCCTAAATTCTTTTCTTAAAGTAAAGAAAGTCCCAAATCTTTATCAACCACCACTGGACACTTTAATACATTTTGTACAAAGCTTGAGCTCAACTTCCAGTGCATGCAATAGTTGAGTTATTGCAGATTCTCTAAAATTCATTTGTATACATGAGCAGGAAAGGGGGTAAAACCTCATTAAATTGTTAGTATTAGAATGTCTAATTGGAAATTAGATGTGAAATTAAAAGCCCAACCTGCAGCAACACATTGCAGAAGACATCCACAGAAAAATATCCTGTTATGAACTCCCAGATCACAAAATACAATATATTTAATAACAAAATAATAGGAGTTGTTGGTATACTTTTAAGGTGTTTACATGTGAATATAGAAAATTATGTTAACCACCAATTTCTAGCTGCCTAGGAAAAACAGTAAGGTAGGAAGAGCGTGGGAACAGCAGAAGAATCAGTTTAAGTTTCTCCACATCTTGGATGTTTGCTCTCTGACTAGTGAGTTTGATTCACTCATAGTTATTGTTCAAAATTATAATGATAACTATAAAATAAAATTAAAAAAAAAAAAAGTGGAAAGGGATTACATTTATTAGTATATCCTAATTTTATAGTAGTGTATACTAAATTCATTCAGTAGCATATCTGAATTCATATTTTTGTTTTGGTAAACTTCTATTAGTTATACCCCCTAAGGGAAATAACAGTCATCCTTTCAGGAATAGCACACATTGTAATCAAGGCCTGAGCCTTGATGGAAGACTGAGTACAAACTGTTTATACAAGAAATAATCATTACAGAGATGCTTGAGTACACCCCATGAGGTGCATGTTAGGAAATAGCATCCAATCCTCTATCTTTGATCCTAAGATCCTTCAGTATTTTGTTAATCTTGTGGAGTTCATTGTATCCATTTTTACCTAAACAGCAGCAGGAAAAAGAACATTTTCCATGTGTACACAGGCTTGAACTGGCTGCAAAAGCCTGTTAAATATTGATTCCTTTAAGGGCTGAAATTAGTTTCCAGTTGTGCATTAAGTTAGTCCTACAAAAAGATGCACTTGCAAGATTGTTTTGGGGAACAAAAGGAAGACTGCAATCACTAATCAGGCATTTTATAAGCGCATGCAGCTCTAGGATGAGGGGAAATGGCTTTAAACTGGAAGAGGGCAAATTTATACTGGATATTAGAAAGAAATTCTTTACTGTGAGGATGGTGAGACACCAGAACAGGTTGCCCAGTGAGGCTGTGGATACCTCCTCCCTGGAAGCATTCAAGGCCAGGCTGCATGGGGCTGTGAGCAACCTGTTCTATGGGAGGTGTCTCTGCCTACAGAAGGGGGTTGGAACGAGATGATCTTAAGGGTCCCTTCCAGCCCAAACTATTCTACGACATGAAGGCATTAGAACTGCATTCCGGAGAACAAAAATAAATAAGATATACCGTGTTTTCTCTGAAGGGTCTCGCAGAACAAAGCTTAACGTTCATACAGCTTTTGTTCCCAGCCGTTAAAACGGTTCCAGATTCAAACCACACCGCGTGCCGAGCGGAGCGGAGCTGCAAGCAACGCGTGACGTGCAAACAACGAGTGCAAACAACGCGGTGACGTGCCCGACCCGCCCATCGGGGCCCTTTAGGGATACGCTGGGATATTCATAGCTAACGCAGTCATATCCTCCCTCGGCAGCTCCACCCCACAGCAAGCGGGAGATTTGAAGGGAAGAGGCGGCGACATGGTGGAGGGCCCGTGCTGCGCGCTGTTTGCGGAGCGGCTGCGGGCGCGAGTGCGTCGGGGTCAGGCGGTGCGCAGCGCGCGGGGCAGCGCTCTGCCGGCTGGGGCTCGCGCTGCGGTGAGGAACTGGGCGTCAGCTCGAATTCTTGGGTGTGCGTGGTGCTGGGTCCCGCCAGGATGTGGAGAGCTTTCAGAGACGCTCTCGTTTGCTGCGGTTCAGACCTTGCTGGGGCTTGTGAACCCTTGCGGTGGGGAAACGGGTTGGGATATAGTCTGGCTCTCATTAGGGGTGTGGTTGGGGTTGTTTGCAACACCTGTTTGCACTTTGCTGCGAGGGGCTGTGTGTACTTTCATAGTAAGTGTGCTGGGTATCCCCGAATAGATGGCTGGGGAGCCCCCCGGCATGTATACATCTCTTTTGGTGTAGATAAGGCAGGGTATGAGAACTTGTGATTAAGGTTCAGAAAGGTAATGCCTAAACAGACTTAAGAAAGAGTGCAGTTCTAGATAAATCTGTTTAAGTTACGCCATCAACAGGTTAGTCTGGAGCTTTGTGTCCCTTAGGACTAAGCCATTTAAAAGTAAGGAGTTACTCTTCTAATTTCATAGAGAAACTTAATTCTATTCAGTGCTCATTATGAACTGCAGCAGAGGTCACCTCCGGTTGCCTTTATTTGTCAGGAAATGGCCATCGTAGGCTGTAAACCATAGCTGAGGCTTTGGTCACTGCTGAAAGAGTACTAAGGGGACCCACGCTGTGCTATTAGTGCTGAAGTTGCAAGGGTTTAACTTGGAATATTTTGCATGTCAAGTTCATTTTTCATGCCTGTCACTTCTTACTCTGGTTTGCTTTAAACAAACCTGAACAGAATAAAGTAAAAAGAAATCTTGCTGTGTAGTATCTTACTCAAATACCTTTATTAGAAGGGATTAACAGTTGATGTAAGGGTGAAATGAGAGTGCTTTCTTATTTCTGTAACAGGTGAAGTAAATGGTGTTCATGTCATGCAAAAAAAAAAAAAAAAAAAAAAAAATTGTTGTTTTTCTACTCAATTAATAACTGCAGAAAGGGACCTTCAGAGCCCCTGAGTTCACACTCAGAGGGACCTTGACAGGTGAGGAAAATAAACTGTCAGAAACTTGTTCACTCTGTTTTAATCTTTTTGTGTGCTCATTTTCAGACTGCTGCAAGTGAGGAGAGAACCTCTAGTCATGATTTCCTTACTGGACAAGTTTTCAAGGGTGTGGAAACACTGGGAAAGGAATTTTTTATGTATTTTGATCAAAAAGCTTTGAGGTAAGAGATAAAAAAATTACTATGCATTTTCAGGGGATCTTTTTGTTCTTGTCCAGAGATCTGGAAAGTTAGTGTTATGGAGAAACTTCTGTACAGCCTCACTTTAAATGCTTGAAACTCTCTGTAACTCTCCATAGCAATTTGTATTGGAGTCATTAATCTATAATGCTACTTTCAGTACAGTAGTTAACACAGTATATCAAAAGGCTCATCACTCAAAGTTCATTCTAGAGTATTATTGATGATTTAAGAAGGTCCTGATGGTTTAAGAACCCATTCATGTTGTGTAGAAGATTTAACTAACTGCAGCTTTAAGATGGTCATATTCTCCAGGCTTTCATAAGATGATGTTTTTGAGGGGGAATGCATTGCTAGTGAACCCTTAGGCAAAAAGTAGATCGAATTAAAGCAGTCTTCCAATGCTGTATGGCACTAATTCCAAAAATTTATCTTTTTACTTTAAAACAACAAAAAAAATCACCATCTTACTACTAGCTATAATTGAATAATAGATCCTAAGTTTAATTAGTGTTTTTTTTTTTTTTGTATTTGTAATTAAAAAAAGAATTCTGTTTTACTTGATTTCAGCACATCAAAGGTAATGAAACACAATGGAGTGAAATCTTATAACCTTAAGGCCTTCTAACATAAACATAGCAATGATCATGAATTATTTTTCTCATCATGGCTGACTGTGACTTTAACGTTTCTTTTAAACAGTGTAGTGAAGCTTGGCTAATGAAATGATCAGCTATTACAGTGAATGTAGTCTTTTAAAAAAGGAACTTTCTGGAAGTTTTAGTGCAATATTTTGGTCTATACTTTTCTTGACTGGTTAATGGCACTTCAGAACTGTAAATAGGTAACAGAAGCAGATGCAGCTGGAATAACTAAACTAACTGAACTGATTTGTAAGAAGAAAGCCTTGGTCGTGGGCCTTTGAAAACTAATGAATAATGTTTCTCTTAATGACTAGAATTTATGTACATGCATACTGTCTTGGTTAGGTGAGAACAGCTTCTAACTATAAAAACTAGACTAGCAAATGCTTGAAAACATTGTTAAGATTAAATACCCATAAGAATTTTCTTTCTTTCCAAGGATTCACTTTGGTATGAACGGTTCCATGCGCATTAATCCTGATGGAAGTAAAGACAGAAATGGAGCATTACCAGTTTTGGAGATACAACTTATAGAAGATACTATTTGTTTCTTTGAGGTGACAGTAGAGTATAGGTAAGGCAGAAACTAACCAACTTTAAATGACAACAGAAAACAACAAAAGAGAAAAAAAACACAGCTTGGTTTATAACATTCTTCTAAGAATGAAATAAAACATAAAAATCAGACAGTGTTAATTGTTTGGCTGAAAGCCATCATAGATAAAAGAAATAAATAAAAACTTACTATAATGTTTATTGATATGGAAATTAATTTTGTCACTTTTGTATCGCAGTTTGCAAGGAGCTAAAGCAGTTCTATACCATAGCCTCATTAGATATTGTCGAGTCTGGGAATGAAACTTGGATTTAATTCAGTCCTTCGATCTGAAAGCTAAAACCCATTACTTCTTTAATTTTAAATGTAACTTTCTTAGCAAGAATAAGTATCTGTAGCAATTACTGTTTTCAAACTTTTGTGGCCCCAAGGTTATGTTTGTTGGAGTTTTGTGACAGCAATTTGGTATGGTTTTACTAATTAATGTTATGCAGCTATATTTGTTCTTTAGCACTGTACTTCCTGCTGGTAATAAAACTAATGTAGCAAGCTTAATTTTAAAGCATTTTAAACTGTTGGGTGAAAAGGAACATGTAAAATCAAGTAATATATCTATACCATATGTAAGTTTAATACGGTGGAACAGATACGTTTCTGCAAGACTGAGATAGCTTCTACTGTATTTTCTTGCAACTATATGTTCTTCAGTTTGATTGTAGTTAGCCTAAAAAATAATCAAGAATTAAGACAAAATATTTTCTTGTCATGTTGAAAACCTGCTGAAGCCATGTACCCGTATCTTATGGTTGATGATCCAAACGCATGATTCTTATATTGCAAATAGATTTAACTAGTTTTCAAGCTAATTTGAGCCAAATTAGGATGATTACTTGTATGTTGGACAGATACTTGTATGTTCTACATATGTATCATCGAACTGTCTTGTAAGGGGGGAGTAGCGGGGGTATATAATTTCTGTGCCTCTTCCCATGAGTGGTATTTTCACGTTTTGTGTTATCTGCAAATAATAACCTGTTACACTTTCATATACTGTTTTGTTTTTTTTTAAAGTTGCTAAATTGCAAGTAAGATTAAAAATATATACATTTTTGTTGGTTTTTCTCTTCCAGAAATGTAGCAGAGTGTGAGCAGAAAGTAAGAATGATGGAAAGCTTGGATGTCTGCTCTCCAAAGTTTAGCTTCTTAAGAGCAGAAAGTGAAGTAAAGCAGCAGAAAACCCAGATGTTATGTGATGTGTTACTGGATCAAACAGTATTACCTGGAGTTGGAAATATCATAAAAAATGAAGCACTATTTGACAGCGGTCTCCATCCAGCTGCTAAAGTAGGTGGATTGCATCAAGATTGTTTTCAATTATCCCAAAGTATTAGGAGAATAAATATATATTTATATAAAAGTTTGTTATCTTCTAATCTTCCTTTGTTTTCTCATCTATCATTACCTAATAGTTTCATCATTCTGATTAGAAGAACTTGATATAGCTTTCCTTGAAACCTGTTACTGTTGTTCCTGTTTCCCACGTTAGACACTTATTGCGCCAAGCCTGTCTTCCAGCTTGGAACTTCTTTTCTAGGGAATTAATTTAAAGTCCTGACTTTGTCCAGCATGGTGTTGTGCTGCCTTTAAATTGTCAGCCTATAAATAAAATTAAGAATGCCTGGGATTTCTTTGCTCTTGTGTTTTTCTGTACCTAATTCTGTAGAATTAGCAAAGGAAACTGAGATTACATAAATTGTAGAGGAAAGCAGGTGAAAATAGTAGGAGTTATTGTTAAACATAATATTTCTGGAAGCTCTTCATAGAATCAGTCTGAATTTTAACCCTAATTAGAGCTGTATGATTATATTCATGGATATAATGACTATCCATTTGAAGCGAGTTCTAGGTTCAAGAGGAGTCCTCTCTATATTCCCAGCAGAGTGAATTCAGAGTTGCTGGCTCATATGATTTCTATGATCAGGAACTCTTAGGTCAATAAAGAGGTAGACCACTGAAGTTTTCAGCTAATATTTTGCATGATTGAAGCAAAGTACATTATTTGTTACTCACATAATGAGTTTGTGTGGTGTATGATGTGAAAGTGTACTATTTTTCCCTTGTTAGGAGAACTCACTGGAAGGTGTTTGGAGTGCCTGTGTCTATACAGATCTCTTTACTGATGTCAATTAATATAGCAATATTGTAAAAATCATACTTGTTTCATTTGCAGGTTTGCCAATTGACAGATGAGCATATACGTCACTTGGTGAAAATGACACGTGACTTTACCCTGCTTTTTTATAAGGTATGGACAGATTTCTAAGAAACCTCCAAAACTTAATTTACAGCATCACAGCTGTATTTGATCAGCCAGGGGAAAGAGGAAAAGAAATGAAACAAAAGTGTTTCAGTGAATAGGAGTCTTGCTTTGCATTTTATTGTGAACTGTCAAGAGATGGAAGAGTAGGGAAATACAGATTGTAAGAATGTGCAGAACTATGGCCCAGTTGCAGCAGGAAGAGTGACACGTGGGCCAATTCAGTACAGTTTTGCTGTACATATAAAGTCACTCTGAATGTGTCAGAATTAATATAGGTTAGGCACATGCATGTAAGGTGACAACTCTTCAAACTAGGAACTAGAGATTGCCCCTGGGAATTTTTATAGGAATTCAATTAATGCAGCTTTATGAAACTTGAAATAAATACATTTATATGAATGCATTGTAAATCCTAACAACAATTTCTTCCTAACTGTGACAATTTCCTTGGTTGATAAAGCAAAATAAACTCAAGCTGTTCCTTACTGCCATTCAATAGGATTTTATTTCTTCTCTTGTCAACCCTGTAATTCCTGGTGGCTCTTCCTCTTTGCAAAACAGAATGAAAGAACTGGACCTAATTCTTGTACGTTGCTGCTTTTTTGTTTGTATGTTTTTCTTTAAGCTGCACGTGGAGGAATGAAATGCTTGTCTGTTTCTCAAAGTTCTTCAAAGACAAGGAGCTAATGTTGCTAGAAGTTGGTAAGATAGGAGAAAAAGATTTAACATTTCTTACCATTCTTACAATGGTAGTGGTTATAAATGTAATTCATTTTAGTCTATTTAAATCTCTGCTTTCTGTTAACCTGTCAAAGAGTAGAGATTTAATCTAGCTAGATTTGGAATCGTTTCATCATCCAAACTTCATAGAGAAGCCTAGTAATAGAGAGCAAGTGGTTCTGCATCAGCATATAATACTAAAGGTAGGCATTGTCACAAGCATTTAGACTAACAATAAACAATTTACATTTTCTGTAGCTAAGTTTACTTATCTTAAATTTTTATAACTAAACCTACCAAGTATTCATCAGCTAAGTACGTTTTAAGGATGAGCTTGCCCCTGAAGCCTCTTGAAGATAAAAACATAACAAAAACAGATTAATATGTGGTAGTGATGATCACTGTTTATAGAATGTTAGTATATACTGTAATTCTTGTAGTAATCATTCTACACTTTCATTTTTAGTTTAATATCTTACAGATACAAATATGTGGGAGCTAGTTCATGTAGTAAGCTGCTGTTTTTTCTGGTTTTAATAACCAATAAAAAATAATAAAAAATCGACTTGTAATGGAGAAATTTACAAAAAAAAAAAAAAAAAAAAAAAAAAAAAGCTTGTGAATATTCATACAAACACTTTATCAGTAATTCCTTCTGACTGAATTACTGGCTGTATCTCTACTGGCCTCTTCCTGATTTTACTTTTTTTCCTTCTATCAGTTTTAGCTGAGGTACGCCTGTGTTGACTTTGCATGAACTGTCTCATGAAATATTCTTGCTTTTCAGCTCTTTGGGGTCTCATTAGGTCACTGTGCCCTTTGAGTTTGTTCTGTTCTTACTTTAACATGACTTTCTGCCAGCTCTTGGGGTTGGGGATCTTGCCATTGTGCCAACTAGCATTTCACAAGCCAGCCTGTCTGGTGTGATGAGCACTAGGATGAAACTGATGATCTTGCAGGTCGTTTCCAACCTTGCGATTTTGCGATTCTGTTGTTGAAATTTACTAAGCTGACTCCTACTCATTTTCTCTGCTGTGTAGACTGGAGCTCATGAGCTCTCCCAGTTTATTTTTGCAGCTGACAGGTCAAAGAAGACTGGTGTTAAATCAAAGCTAGATGGTCCATCTAAACACAAGGGATCCCTAGCATATGTCTGCTGATGCCATGCTAGTATGTCTTTTTGTGTCTTTCTTTCTTTATTCCAATATTCAGGAAAATTTTGATATAATATTGATATACAATGATATACCAGATTTAATGTCAATTTTTGAAATAAAAGAAGATGAAATACAGGATGTAGCCCTCATGGACGTGCCTCTAATTTCTTTGTTTAGTCATTAAGCTTTAGTCTGCACAGCTATTTTTTTTAGTTTAGTTTAGTTTCAGATGAGCTGTGGAAAACCTACCATAATTTATATAGTATCTGTAACTTCGGTTTTAAACATGCTCTGTTTTAGTGCCGCAAAACTGGGTCTCCACTCTACAAACACTACAAAGTATACAGGCGCCAAACCTGCGGTCAGTGCAATGAGAAAATCACTGTGTGTCGTTTAGGAGAGAATAACAGGATGACTTACTTCTGCTCTCGATGTCAAAAGGCTGATCCCCAGCTTGTCAATGTTAGGTATGATGATATCTTTATAACACTGAAGTGCTGGTGTCCTGAAAGTGCTGTTATTGTTAACAATAGAAAGCAAATAGAATGGCTGCATGCAAACCAGTATGTGTTTTGTATCTAAGCTCAGTTGTACTTATTAAAAATGGTTAAAAGCTTTGATTGGAATACTTGTCTTAAAGATCCCTTCTGTTGTAAACTAGCTAATCAAATGTGAAAATCATAAAAACAACAGAAAGTACTCAGAATTATACACTGCTATTAGAAAAGTTGTTCTCTCTTCTCAGTTAGAAACATAATAGGCTTGGATGCTTACATGTCAGTGAGTTGAACGGCATGAGGAAGATAAGAATCTGTGTCTCTCTTTCTTGTAGGAAGGCCCTCAGGAATATCTAAGCAACTACATTCACATAATTTTGTTCTAGATGTAGAGAGATGCTGAGGAATACTAAGGAAAGTAAATTCAGAATGCAGAAAGTACTGTAGAACTCCAGACTTTTTTTTTTTTCTACTTAACAGTTCTGGAAAGCTTTTACTATGAGTGTGCCACAGAGACTTTCAGTTCCATATAATTTATGCTAGCAGCAGCCTTCCTTTTATTTCAAAAAAAGCACAAAATGCGTTTGATATCACAGAAGGGTTTGATATCACAAAAGGTAAAAGTTTCAAAAGTACCTTACGCAGAGATTCTTCCACACCTAAGTTATTCTAGAAAAATTTTCATCTGAGGCCTCAATCTTGCTTTTTTTTTTTTTGTATTGAGCTCTGTCAGTCTGATGAAAGACACAATTTCCATTTTAAAAACTTCGTTTTCATTAATGTATGTTTGTGTGTGTGTATGGATATATATGTACACAGAGAGGTTTTTTTTAATAAGATTTACAGAAAAATATAGAAGTTTTACACCGAATTATTTTACTCTGCCACCCTCACTTCCAACTTTCTTTTAGGAATCAGATGGCAAAAGGGATTTTGCTTAAAGCTTAAAAATCACTTCTCAGTGCAGATCAACATAGAAAATTCCAGTGTAGAAGATAAATATTTCACATGCTGATAAAACCAATCTCCTGTGTTGTTTTTTTTTCCTCTGAAAGTTATGAGAAGTACTTTGAAAAACAGTAGGGAGGTGGAAATGTTCCACTGAGTCACACAACCACAAAATTATGCAAGGGGAAGAAATGACTTTCTCTCCATTCTAGAAAAATCACTGTCTTTCTGAAAACAAACAATTAAGCAGTGATATATTTTAGTTAAAGTTGTGGTAATTGTAGCGATAGAAACATGAAGGCCGCTCTGGAAGTATTTTCTCTTATTTTCAGCACTGGCAACAGTGAAGTGAAAGACAAGCCATGTTCTGACAGCCATGCAAATTTTTGCATGAGTGGTAAGCGGGCTCTCATTCATCAGTGATGAAAACAGGTAGCTACTGGTAGTGACTTTGAAAAATAGTGTTTTGTAGCTGAAAATCTGCTCTATCAAGTAGTGCTACTGTGTTCTTTGAATCTGTGGAAGTTCCTCAGAAATAAATAGGAGGCATGCTTTCAGAGTGACCTCCCTGCAAGGCTGTTTTGGGTACTGTCTTCATCTTTATGGTCAGACTGCTTCATTATACTGCTCTTTCTGCTACACAGTAACTTTTACTACTTTAAAGTGTCCCTATCTCTCAGGTGGCTTTTCTGCAAGTCTAAACTTCTCATGTTTGAAGGTAAACAGGAGCCTGTGTAATCAAACTGACGTACTATAGATCATGAACTGTAGAATTTAACTCAGTGATTCCTGGGTTAAGTCCAGTAGCTTATGTTTTTGCTCAAATGACAAAATAAAGACAGGACCTATTATAAGCAACTTCATAAAATTCAAGAGTACCTTGAATCTTTAAAATACATTTTTAGATAGTGAAATATGGGAAAAATGTTAATGGGGAGGAGTATCACACTTGTAAAGAAGACAGCTGAATAATTTCAGTCTGACAATGTTCATGTGATGGCTGAGTAGTAGAAATTATTAGACAGTATTAAAAATGGATATTTTTAAATTACTAGTTAGGCTATTTTGTTATCTACCCCAGTAAATTGGGAATGATACTGTAATATCTACTATAACTCCTCTTTATCATTTTGTGAAAGAGCTGTGGTAGATTTCTCAACTATTGGTGGCGGAAAATAAGAAAACCTTTTTAGATACCTAGTCTGTTAAGAAGAATGATAATTATAGAGTAAGTATAAGTCTAAGGAGTGTCACAACAGTTCACCAACTACAGAGACAAATGTTTGATGACTTAGCAAGCGCAGTACCTAAAACTTTGCATGTCACTGAACTGATAGTTTCATTTTGCATGCAAATAATTTTTGAATAGTACGACAAAACTAGTCCTTCATAGCATGCAGTAACTAAAACAGTAACTATGGTTCTACATAAATGTACCAACATATGAATACAGTAATTTAAAGGAAAAATAACTACAGAAAAACTCTATAGAAACATTTCCAGTACAGCTTTGTCTTACCAGTTATAACTGAACAAGCACCTAAAAGTTTAAAAATAAAAATAAAAAAAATCAGGAAATGGAGAGACAAAAGAAAGATTTTATAACTTGAACGTTTTCAATTATGTTGGCTTTTATGACAACAAAGTGGTCTAATGGATGCCATTTACAAGAGAGAACAAACATTGTTGAAATTTTTTAGGTTGTGTGACTGTAGCAACTTCCAATTAGTTCTTCATTCAGTAATCATCTGTTTGTAAATATTCAAATATTCTGTACAATGGATGGGAGGAAATGTACAGAAGTGGTTGTCCTTTATTGCCAAGTTTCTTGCTACTCTATTCAAGAACAGTAGGGAATGTGAGAGATGCTGGAGCACTGTGTTGCAGAGTGTCTCTGTTGATTGTTAACTTTTTGTCAGTGTTAGTTTGAATATTTGTATTGCTTGGGAAAGATCTGCCCTTTAGGTAAAGAAGAAAATCAAACTCTTATAGTGACATGTTGTTAGGCAGGTATAGCATGCTGTTCTGCTTTTTCTCTAGGTTCTTGCCTTCCTGAACATAGTGATGTAGGGTAATTTGTGGAGGAAACGTCACAAAAGACTAACATCATTCTTCTGTTTCACAGCAAACTGCCAACTAGAAATAGCCTAATTGGCTGGGCATGTGGCAGGGGGTCATGTTCTAATGAACATGTAGCTCAGAAATGTGAAGAAGAGTGGACGTGTATGCGCTGTACCCTAATAAACAAGCCTTCTGCTGAAACTTGTGATGCCTGTTTGACTTCAAGGCCTGAAGGTATTGAAAGGTTGCCTGGAGCCCATACTGGGGAAAGGAGGGTTGTGGTTTTGGTGCAGTTTTTAGAATTATAGAACTGTAGAAATGACTTACTGTGAATTGTATTTATGTAACTTTAGCAGACTTAAAGTCAGGTTTGGAGGAAATCTTACACAGATGATCATAGAAACTGTCTCGTCTTAAACCCTAGATGTGTCTTGCCTTCCAGCTTTACTTGCAGATGGGGATTCTATAGACAAGTCTCTGTGGTGATCGCTTATTTTTGCTGGAGCAAGGAGTGAAACAAAATACCATACTTCAAACTCTGATTAAAATTGTTAGATGTTTGCAGCAAAAGCCTGGAAGAGAAATCATCAGTGGTACAGAAAAGTAACTCACATTCCTTCACATGAACAAAACCAGAAGGGGAGTAGATATTTTGGTACCCTTTCCAAAGCACTGCTAGATTTCTCAGGAGCTAGTGTTTTGTTTTGTTTTCCTCCGAGTTCAGATTAAGGAGGATTTTGGACTAAATTTGTTGATATCTCCTACTGGAGTTTTAATGCTCCTATCTAGACCTCTGCGGGCAGAAAGCAGATGTGAATGAGACTTATAAAGGGACACAAAGATTGCTACCTTCTGTGCAGATTCCTGTATTTAGATATTAAGAAGAGATAAAAGAGGTAGTGGACAGACCCCACTGAGACCTGTTTTCTCTCTGAAGAGCAACTTTGTATTCTCCTTCACCTTTTATAGAAAAGTGATTAAAATGTTCAGTGAAGGGATTTACAGCAAGTTATTTGAGTCAATAGTCTTGTAGGAACAAAAAAGGAACAAAGTTTAGAGTTATGCGTGTGTGATGTTAGGGGTAAAGCTAATCCTATAATCATTCCATACTTAAACTTTTCTACCTCAAGAACTAATGCTGTACTTATTTCACATTTTGTATAGTGAGTTCTTCATTGAAGACAGAGGATGTTGAAGATTCCACAGACTTTAACATAAATCTCATTAAATACCCTTGTAATGACTTCAGAAAACCAAGCAGAGAAATAAAAATCAACAGGAAGGCTGCATTTGGAACTACCACTCTTGTCTTAACAGATCTTGGTAATAAAGCAGAATTGAAAGGTGATATCCAATTACCTGATGGATGCTCTGAGTATGTTACTCCAAAAGGCAATCTCAGCCAGAATCAAAATAATGTCTACCACTCAGGAATAAGCATAGACAAGTATTGCTCAACAAATGTAACTTCTCTGGCTTCATCTTCTGGTCAGGAGCCTCCCTCTTTCAAGCCCACAAAGAAGAAGCAGAAAACTCATCACGTATCTTCTGTTCACCAATATAATGTAACAATTGGGTATGTATTCTAAAATACAAACAAGTTTTGTTATTTTGTAATTACATAAACCATCTTTATCCTTGAAGATTAATGGAATGTTGTGTTGCAGAGTTCATGCAGTGTTGTCTTTGCATTTCTGCTGAAGGTAATTTCCTCTCGAGTAACTGAAACTACACTGAGACCTCAAAAGCACTGAAGGACCTAGGCTATTGCTGGAAAAGTCTTGAGTTTGGCATCTGGCCAGTACTGCTGTTAATTGAACAGCTGTTCATAGTGCAGGTATTCCCTTGAATAGGAAAGATTTGCTCAAATAGGTAAACAGTTCTACCAAAGGAGTTGTCTGATTGCTGCTTGCCTTCACTGTTTGTTTGGAGAAACCTTGAAATCATCGTGGAAGATAACAAGCATATAAACTGAAGTGCTTATTAGGCAGGTGATTTTTTTTTCTCTACTGTCTTGATTATTAACTTGTTTTCCTTGTGTAAACACAGGATCTTTAGTCTTTTGCTTTCTTTCATTATTTGCAAAAGAATGTATTCTCAACATGTTTCTTAATTATAACCTAAAGAGAAACAGGTAGATAATGGAACACTCTTAAAATGTGGTAAGTATCTAAAAATAAGTTAGAGGTGCTAGAGATGGATTTACTATTTCACTTAATGTGTAAATTCTCATACCAAAAGGAAAGTAACTGAATTGCTTGTGTATTTTAGTTGAAAGTATTTGTCAGCTAGCAATTTTCAACTTTTCTCCATGATACAAACTTCTGTTCAAGTTAACTTAATGAACCTACTGTCACTATTTTCTCTTAACTTCCCTCCCTATCCTATATGCAATTACTTCAATGCTCCAATGCTCCACCCATCCTGAATTTTAAGTTACACAGCCTCTACAGACATACCCACTCCCAGTGAAATGTGAGAACATGATAGGATTGTTAAGGAAAACTTGGGCAGACATATACAGCAGTAATGGGAGTGCACAGTAGATTTCACTGATGGTGGTAAATTACACAGGGGGAATGTGAAAGAAGTTTGTGATACACTGCAGAATTCTTGGTCCTGTCTGTTCTGAAATACAGAAGTTATTTAATGCACTGTTGAAGCATCAATTTTGAAACTGGCCCTCACTAGCAAGTTGGTGCTCTGTGAAAAAGCATTCTACTTGCTTTCTCAGTAGAAGACTACAGAGGAAAGATGTAGATGTGATGAGAATAAGAGAACACAAAGAATAAATTGGATATCAATAACAATATCAGGTAGTTATCTAAGGCCACCAACTTAGATATTACAGAAAATAAACTTTGAACCACAAAGTACATGAAGTGTGGAAGTTTTGTGGGATTTTGGTTTTGTTTTTTCCTGATGAGGCATAGGGAGAATGTTTTAATGAGGTATTGGAATAAAACTTTACCTACAAGACTATAGTCTTCCAGACAAATTTCCTAAGCTGAAAACTTCACAAGAAAGGAAATAGCTAATTGATCTTTTCAGCTTTCCCCGTGGCTTCATCACTGCTATTCTGCTCTGTAAATTGGATTTATAAATATATTAGAAATATTTCAAAGAGCATAAGTATTCTTCTTCGTGTTACCATTTCTAAATAAAACCTCATGTATTGCATTCACATAATCCATACCTCAATCAAGAGAGAGAAACCAGACAGCACTGTTCCCTTCCCTTAGCCAGATTACTTGTCAGAATACAAGCATTACAGTAATTTTTTTAGTAAAGAGAATAGGAGAATTCTGGAATGCATACAACTACCTTCAACTTCGACTAATTACTTAGTATTGATCTTTCTCCTACCAAAAGCAGAATATTCTTTTAATATTGGGTGGGATTTAGGGTGGGCAGTATAACAGGTAGTATGATTTTTGTGTTGTAGCTGAAGTTAGGAATACATTGAAATAGCTTAAAACCAATGCTGGGCAAAGCTGATATGATACCTTCTAGATTAGTTTATTCACTCCCCATTATCATTCAGCTTTAAAGGAGCAATAAGCTGTATTAGAGAATCAAGTTCTTTGTCTGTCATTACATGCAAATGTGCACTGAGCATGTTATAACAACAATAGGAGAGACTTCCTTGGCTGTGGTGTTGGTAATCCCTTTAACAATATGCACAAGTCATTTTGTTACCTGTCATTACAGCAAACCTCAAGTTAATTCAACAGATGATATTCATACACTGCACACAGGCCCTCCTCATTGCAGTAAACACGGTCACCTCTGCAAACTCAGAATTGTGAGGAAGGATGGGGAAAACAAGGGCAGGATGTTTTATAGCTGTCCTCTACCCACAGAAACTCGGTGCAACTATTTTCAAGTAAGTATACGACTTCACAGCCTGTAATGTTTCCCATTTTTTCCTTAATTCAATCACTTTTTCATGCAGCCACCTTACCCCAACCATCTATAACTGTGCACAAGTGTTTAAAATTATCTCTTGCTTTTAATGAATCATATCTGTTCACACTGAGTTGATGCATAATCATGACTGTAAGCTTATTGTTTCAGTTACTTCTCTTACATCTGAGAACATACCTTTAGTGCAAATGCTCTTGATCTGCTTCAGCATAATGTAAGGCAGATGCATAATAGAATTATCGATTTGGAGAGACTTGTACAGCTCAGTTATCTTCAGCCTCTGGGTTGAAGGAGTGCTGCAAAACTTAGATCTGGACATCAGCTATGTCTCTGTCAAGACAAAATCTTGAAAACCTCTGAGGGCACACATTAGACAGACTACACACACTGTAGTCTGTCTGGACTGTTCCTTTCACAGCTGCACTGCTGTGCAACCCAGCCTTCATGGCTGCAACCTGTGGTCTCAGCGTCTCGCTGCATGAATGTACATGAAAGGGAAGAGCTTAGGTCACCTACCAACAGAAAGAATATATGAATTTAAGTCAATAATGACTATGATGCCTTAATTTGTAGAAAACTGTGCATTAACATCAATTAAACTTACAAAGCCTAGTTATAATATTTAACACCAATTAAAATGTATACAGTGCACTGATCACTGGAGAGATCAGACTATACTTAGTAGCAAGAATTTCTGTTAAGGCCTCTCTTGTAGATCCATCTCCATTTTCAATTTTAAAATAATGAGCTCAGAGCCAACATATATGATAAAACCATATCTAAAAATTGTTTCTTTTGACAGTGGGCTGATTTGAATTTTCCATTTTGTCACCATGGCAAGCGATGCGTTATGAGGATGGTGCTGAAGCTTGGTCCCAATAATGGAAAGAATTTCTTTGTGTGCCCATTAGGAAAGGAAAAACAGTGTGGCTTTTTTCAGTGGGCAGAAAATAAGCCAATTACACAGTCTACTCCTTGATGATATCGTTATCTAAGACATCCTAAGAAATAGATAAGTACAGCTCTCATTGGTCATTTCTGTTTTGTTGTCACCTGTTTTTCCTGTTCACTGATTGATTAGTCAAATTGCTCCCATAACTAAGTAAAAACTACAGATTACTCTATCCCAATTTTAAAAAGTCCTATAACATTAAACACTGCTTGTATGCTGCATACTAACTTGCAGTATATTGTGACACACAATATTTCATATTCATATAACAATAGTTATATTTCCAGTCAAATAATTGAACTGCTTTCTATTTTTCATGTAAATATCACTGCACTGTCAGCACTGCACATTTTCAAGCTGATATGCATTATGGAATGGATCTTAATCTGAATTTGTACTTCAAATTGGTAGTCTTATAAACAGGTATTTAATGAATAAAATTTACTGCCCTCTTCAATATAGCTTCGTGCTTTATTTCTTCAGAGCTTGAAAAGAAACAACAGACTGTACATTTTAAATTTTACTACAGCTGGATGTTTGACCTTCCTAGATTTGGAAAACAGACACACGCTGCCCCACAGTTAATAATATGACTCTGCATTTTTCTTAATTATATGTTTTAAATCTGGATCTTAACATTTGATTCTGGTTGCTATTCAATTTCTTCCCTAATCTGTGTTAAATGTGTAATAAAACCATTCCAGACCATTCCACTTGGGTGGTTAAAACACAACTGAAAACTTGTAAATGGTTTACAATTGCTCAATATTGCTTTTTTTGAGTATTTTTGGTTGGAAGGACTTGCAGGGAAGATGGTACTTGGAATTAAAGAAAACTCAATTTTCCTGAGAAATCTGTGGAACTAGAGTCCAGTTTAAAGCCTCAATGCCATGCTGTGAGTGAAACCAATTAATTTTTGTCCTTGCCATCAACTTCAGAGGAGACTTTCTTCTTTCTCTTTTCAGTAGCCTATGCCATATTTCAAGACCTTTAAATGTTTCCTTATGTGATGGTAATCTTCCTTTTTTTTAAAAAAAAAAAAAAAAAAAAAAAAAAAATCAGGCTGTAGAAAGTATAATTTTATGTTGCTTGGTGGATTCTTTCCAACTTATATGTATCTTTCATGAAGCCTGTTTAAAGTGGGGTACTGAACCCTATCTGAGAACAAAACAAGCTACTTCACATGGTGAAGACTTTTATATAAAAGACACCAATGATACTTATTGCTATGATGGTACATCACTGTTCTAAGCTAATTTGGGTTATATATCTAAATCTTTAGAACTGTCTTATTTTTACAATTCATTATTATGAGAAGGTGATTATTTTTTACATGTGGTTGGGTGTCTTGCACAGGGATAAATCTTCAATGGTTCAGCTAAACATGAAAAATACAACTACTTTTGATCATTTGCCTTTAACAAATGCAAAGCTAGAACTTGAATGACTTTTTCAGACTTTGACACTTCAAAGATAACAGGCTGTCTCTTTTTAAATCTTACCCGTGAGACAAGAAGTAAATGAATATTTGTTTACATATAACACATACTAGCTTTAAAGGATTAACTGCTTTTATTAACTACTGCAGTTACTTTCTTTATTTCCTTATTTCCAGAACATGCTGTGTGTAAAAATAAGTAAATGCATAAGCAATATGGAAATTTAACCTGGACAACACAGCAGCAATATATAAAGTGCATTTACCATTCTTCAATGAAATGTGTATTCTGTCCAGCTTAAACTAAGGAAATGTAATATTTTGTCCCGATCAGTGGTTCATCCATTTAAAAAGTAATTTCTCCTGAAGTCTGAATACTTCAAATGCATGAGAAATCATCTAGATGTTATTATTCAAAGATAAACCATTGTTTTAATAAAAATTGTTTAAAAAAAAAAAAAAAAAAAAAAAACAACTTCTGAAACATTTAATTGCTGCTGTTTTCTGTTTGCCAATTATTATCTCAAATATAACATAATAGGCTAGCACAGGCTATCCAGTTGAAGTAATCAGAGCTGGTTGCATATATGAAGCTTTAACAACTATATGTCACATGTCAGTGAAAATGTAAATGGCAAACAGCAAGGACAGCTAAAGCTAATCAAACCAGCACATAGAGGAATCTAAGATGTTTGTACTCCAGTGAAACAAGAGACTAAATAAAAGACAGTTAATTCTAGATCACTGTCTGTCTCTGCATAACTTACTGCTTCTGCCAATGCATTTTTCCCCTCCAGCCTGCTATTTTTCCTCCTCCTTAGAGAAAGAGAGCATTACACTACTTGTTTAACAAGCTGTAGCTGACATTTGATATTAAAAAAAGCTTTTGATAAATAAAGTTGCAATAAAACTTAAAATACATCCTCCTCAAAAGAAAAGCAACCAAGGGTTCAAATCAGTAGGTGGTTCTTGAAACGATCTCTTGTTTGTTCAGAAGTCCTGATTTTGCCTTTTGTCTTAGTATTTTACAAATGAGGCTGTTGTGGCTTTGTTTTCACATCATTTTGTCTAATACAGTGCAAATGATGAAATAAATACACATACTTCAGATTCTTATATTGCTTACCATTTTGGATGTTGTGTTGTATACGAACGGGAGCTAAAAAGAGTGATAAAGTGATAGTCAAAAGAAGGAACTGTCTATCCCAAAAGTTTCCTGATTTCTGTTCTTCATGAAATCTATTGTAAGCGGTTTAAAAATGTAGTCATTTTCAAAGGCTTTGGGATTCTGACATAGTTATTACTTTAACTTCCTACATCTGTACATACCAAAGAAACAAGCTGTGTTACAAGTTTCTCCAGGAAGCTGTCAGAACTGACAGGCTCACATAAGCTTCTTTGGCTTGATACGTTTCAAATAAGAAGATAATTGCAGCTCTATAGCTAGCTTTACTGGAAGATTTTGTTCATAAATACTCTTACAATTTTTGGAGATTTTTTTAGACATCAGCATTATAACATGTGACAGCATGACTCACAATGGAAGTTTGTATTGAACAACTTTCTAGCTTTGTTTATGACAAAGCAATCTTCACAGAGGATCAAACCGAGATCACAAGATGTGAAGTAAAGACTAAACCTAGAAAACTCTAATGCCATACCTTTTTTTTTTTGCTTTACAGCAGGCAATTTAGTTACTATCACAGTTTAAATTTAAGCAGAATACATCTTTCACTTTCAAAGTAATATTTATTTTCCAGTTGACATGGGTTAGAATCACACACTTTTCCTACTTTCAGCCCTTTGTGTCCTTATTTCAACTACTTTTATTATCAGCTATTTGTTAAAGGTATATGTTTTTCTTAACCTATATATGCACAACTACCATTTGATATCAATATGAATTCAGCAAATAGACTGAGACCTGGAGAAATGGTCTTACATTACTAATTCACTGAATAATAAAGTTGCACCTAAAATACATACTCAAGTTTTGTGTCATGACTATGTCACAGCTGTAAATACAGACCTTTTCTATTATATACAACTTTATATCTGCATCCACCCATCTGTGTAAAATGTAGCCCTGGTTCTCACTTATTTTTCTGAAATGGAAAACAACGAAGAGTGTTTTAGTTTGATGGGAGAACGGGATGTTCAAAGAAGTGGACGATGCCATCCTTTCATCTGCTAAATATGTGCATGAAATGTTCATTACTTTCACATAAAATCAAAAGGCATTGCAGTCTTTCACAGACTTCATAGCAACTGCAGGCCTTCTTTTTCTCTAAACAAAATCTCTTTGCTGGAAGATTTAAGACTCTATTCAACTCATCCCTGTGTCCTGCACTATGCAATTTCACTTGTTGTCAGCTACACTTGCACTGACATTTGGTGATGAAAGCTCAAGTTAAACATCTAGCATATTAATATCCTGAAAGTATTTATTTTTATTCCTTCAATATTTGAAAGGTTGTTTACTATGTCCAATTTTCACTTAAATATTCAGAACATATGTTCAAGATCCATTTAGAAAAGGCTGGAAATACTCTCTATTTTGTACTGAGCTCAGACTAAACAGTGTTTAAAACTGGCCTATGCATACATTTTGCTGACAGATCTGTACTCGAGGCTGATTCCGGCTATCTGCAAAAATACTCAAAGTGGGCCTTAGCATAGCAGCTTGAACATCACATCTTCACGTACAAACTCATTTGTACTCCATTAGTTTGTAGTTTATGCAAAGCAAATAAAGATTTTCAAAGAAAATTGCATATACATACTACACAACTCAAGTAGGAGCTGATCCCACTGCAGTCAGGCTACAGAGCTTCACACCTTGTTTGCTCCTACACAGCAGCGCAAAAAGGATAAAAAATTCTATGCTCCTAAACTATTCAGGTATGCAGATACTACAGCAACCACAGAATATAAATAGTTGAAGCTTTTGTAAATTATTACTTGTTTCATATGTAGTATAGTATGGTAGGACAGGAATTATTATAATATTGAAACACAGAATTGGAATTCTATGCGAGCAGCCAGTATCTACAGAACTTTAAGTACTTATGGGGTAAAATAGACAAGGTGGAATTCAGGCAGGTTTAAAAAAAAAAAAAACAGAAAAACAAACAAACAAACAAAAAAAAAACCACAAAACCCTGAAATGGTAATGTGCTTACACAAAAGGAGGCAAAAAAAAACAAAAAACAAAAAACCAACAGAGCAGTTAGATCACTAATTGTACACTCAAAACATTATTTAGAAAGTCCCAGCTCCCAGCAAGTGTGATGCTCGTTCACATGTAATAAATTAGGTACTGCTGCAAATCAAAACAAATAATATTTTTTCTTTACTCACTGCTCCAGCTTTAGCTAGTGCCCATTAATTTCAAATTCAAAGTCTCTTGAATCCACAGATGAATTAACTTTATTTTTGATTTAATACTATATCAATAAATGAAGCACATGAAGAAATTCAAGCACTTGAACTTTGTTACTTAAATCTCCAAGGGCCAGCTAAAGCCTATTTTACATACAACCACTCACCTATATCTATCACAAAGTCTCTTCAACAAAACACAGTATGCAGGATTGACAGTTCTGATGGTAATAAATACTGAAAAAGGCCATTCTCAAGACAGCACTATTAATCAAGCCACATTCAGCTATTTGGTCAAAAACACCAGTCATTTTGTTAATTGCAAGGCTTCAAGTGACAATCAGCTAGCAGGCTCTGCTGATTGAGATGAACCTTTTAATGATAGCTTAGGTGATTACCTTCAATTTCTATTTAAAGATCACTTAGGCTTCTTGATCAAAATTACTGATGAAAAATTTGTCACTGAGGTTGGCATTGTTTCCTGGAAACAGGAATGATACTGGGCAGCAAATAAACTCCATACCTCAGTATGCTGCTTTCAAGCTTCCACTTCTGGGGCAGCTCTACAGGCTGAGCCACCAACCCACAGTAGAACTCAAGTCCACTCATCGCTAGAGAGTGGTGTACAGAGCTCATAACAGCTCTAGTTTACAAAAGAGCACGTTGGGAACCATCTCTGAGATTCCTATACATTCTCCATCCCATTTGTGATTGTACTAAGGGAAAGGTTCCACCCACATGGCTAGTCAATAGCAATTTGAAATGATGTAATATTTATCTGGCATTAGCACTTACGTTATCACACCGACATACTACATCCCTGTTATAAAACTTTATGCAAGATGAATTTCTATTCTCAACTCTGAAAGATACTTGATTTTTCAAATTAAGTTAGAGTTGTAGATCTATTTTTGAATGCAATTGGACCTAGCACAGCTGAGCAAACAGGCACTTATCTCAGGTCTAAATGTCTTCATGATTCAGTAACCAAACAACCCTGTGATAAACCCCTTGCTCCCACCCTCCCCCCGCTCCCACCCCCAAAGAGTTCAAATACAGCAGTCAGCCAAAAACAAGGTAGTATTTACACAGAGTATAAAGCACAGTGATTTTCAATTACATAGTCAAGAATTCACAGTGGTCACATTTTCACAAGAGCATTGTGAAACCCCAGTTGCTTTGAAATATGACATTTTGAGTGATACAA